ATGAACATTGTTCAGTCCATTTTCATTCTTTCATTTAGAACAGGCAAGCTGACTTAGAGATAAGGAAGCAGTCAAAGATTTTCCATATAGTAAATTTCTCTTTTGCTATTAAAAATTAGTATTTAGTGTTAAGGGCAAATAGTCAATTATAATTAAAATCTAAATGCAAAGCATTCTAAATCATCTATGTGTATGGACATGCAGGCAGAGCTGCTTTAAAGGAAGGTTTTGTTTTGGGACACAGTATATGCTAGAAGAAATCCTGAAAGGAAATCACCTCAAATTCAGGCTACTCATGCTATTTTACCTCACTTCTGCCAAAGAAACATAGATACAGATTGAAGGGACCCTAGAGCTTCATCTGGAACAGTACCTGTATTTTAAATGTGAGGAAACTGAGGCACTGAGAATCTAAACTATATTGTCCTCCAAATCCATCCCACCTTCCAAACTCTATTTTTTTTTCTCAAGGGCACCATTATCCTTCCAATTATCCAGATTCACTACCTCAGCATTATCTCTGACATCTCCCTCTCCCTCATCTCATCCATAAAAACAGTTATCAAATCCTGTCATTTCTCTCTCTTCAATATCTCTCAAATCTGTCCCTTTCTTACCACTTCCATGGCTGCCCTCCTAATACAGGCCTTCATCACTCCTTGCCTGGATTATTACAAAAGGCTCTTAATTGGTCTCCCTGCCTCAAGCCTCTTTCCTCTCCTATCCATCCTTCACCCAGATGCCAAATTGATTTTCCAAAAGTGCAGATCTGACCATATCATTCCTCTACTCAATAAAGTCCAATGGCTCCCTAATGTCCCTAGGATACAATATAAGCACCCCTTTTGGCTTTCTAATTTTATTATACATTATTCCCTTTCCTGCATCACAGTGTGAAGGCAAACTGACCTTCTTTCTGTTTCTCTCATGACACTCCATCTTCTGTCACTATAGCTCACCTCTATCTCTTAGAATCCCTTATTTCCTTTAGAACTATGCTTAAGCAACATTTCCTACATCAGGCCTTTCCTGATCCCTCCAGTTTTGTTTTTCCTCTGCCCTTAATACTGATTTTTCATATGCTTGCTTATGCACAGTTTTTCTCTCCAGACACACTGTAAGCTCCTCAAGGTCAGGCATTGGTTCATTTTTGGCTTTTCATCCCCAACACTTAGCACAATGACTCTCACCTTGTAGGTGTTAATAAATGTTTGGTGATTAATCGACTAAATATCTTCGAAGTTCACTCCAGAAGCAACCAAAGGAGCCAGGACTCAAAACTCATATTCTCATACTTTAATTTCAGTGTTTTTCCATCAAAAAGTATTGCCTCAATTAATCAAGAAACCTTTATTAAGAGTCTACTCTGTGCCATATTCTGTGGTAAGCACCTCACTGAATAAGATCCTTATTTTCAAATCTTAACGGTCTTTAGAATTTCTCTACTTCCTTTATTCTGAAGATTTTTCTAATGGCAAGTCCTCAGCCCCAAATGTGCCCCCCTTACTCTCAGCAGATATCCCACTTCTTAATTTACTGAGAAGATCAAAATCATCACATGAGCTTGCTAAACTCCTCTCTCCTCCACACTTCAAAATTTCTGTCTCTCCCTACCATACTGTTCTTTTTCCTTACAATCTCAGAGGAAGAGGTATTCTTTCTCCTCACCAATTCTAACCTCATGTACTTGTGTCCTGATTCCATCCATACTTCTCTCAATTCATTTTCCCACCTTCACTGTCATCCTAAGTCTTTGTTTAATTCATTATCCTTCTCTTTAGACTTTAATTATTTCTCTCTACATTGGCTCACTCTCCTTTTCCTACAAATATGTAATTTCCTCTCACTTAAGAAAATATTCCCTTTACCGTTCTATTTCTTGGAACTACCTCTATCCTATTGCTCAGAGGATAGAGAGGATAGTTACCCTTTGAAAAGGCCTGTAAAAGTGAGCCAACAGACTGACTTCTCATTGTATTTGAAAAGTGAAGGTCTTTTGGGAGTGGTGTTGCAAGTTTAACAGACTTAGATTGTCTGCCTTCCATGGAGAGCCTAAACCATAGGGTAGAAGTATAAACCTGGGAGAGATTACCTAAGGCCCTGTGGGAGAGAGGGTGGACAGAATGGCAGTGTTACATCCACTGTCAACCCAGAGTTTAATTTCTTCTTGAAGGGAGTTTATAGGCTATTTATATGTTTTCTGTGTCTATTCATGGTCTCCTGTGAGGCCTTTGCATCTTAAGTATTTTCTGCAATGCGAAATGAAGAAAGTCCTTTACCCAATAAATATTTGTTACCTTAAATGCTTGTCTGGCAGCTAGGGGCTTTATCAATTATATTTGTGGAAATATAAACATGAGTCGATTTGAAAATTTCCAGGAGTAAATTCCAAATATTGGCTTATGAGCCAAAAGAGAATATAACCCTTTGGGTTCAACACCTGATAATAGATCTCATTTTTGTGGGTCCCAGAGTTTTAGTGGAAGGCTGGACATTGGGTTAAATGGAAAATGAGGATTATAATTCCCTCACTAACCACCTTACTGGGTTTGTCATGAGCTAAGTGCTTTGCAAACTTTGAAGCAGTATATAAATGTGAACTATTACCTACCTCATGCTAGGGTTCTGAGAATCAAATGAAATAATGCAAGAGCTTCCTCTTCCAAGAAGACTTCCTTGATTCCCCTAGTTTTGAATAAATTTTCTCTCAACACTGATAAAATACTTCTTTTTGTAGCTCTTATTTACAGATCATAGTTTGCCTTACATCTGGTAAAGCACCTTGAATAATACCTGACATTTATGCAGCTGTTTAAGGATTTGAAAATGCTTTACATGTAGCATCCCATTTGACCCTCACAATAACTCTCCAAGTAGAAGCAATGACTGTGCCCGTTTTATAGATGAGGAAATTGAGGATGAAAGAAGTTAGGGGACTTGCCCATAAAGATACCTATCATATGGTTACACATAACTTCCCAACTTCACTGAAAGCACTCAATACACTACATTGTGTTGCTTTGTGAGCACAAGAGGTGCTTCTTAAAACCATAGTAGGTCAATAAGCTTTTGTTGACTGAACGAAAGCTCCTTCCCTTGAAAACAATTCAAACTAAACAAAATAATGTACTTTATGATGACAAACAGATTGCAGCTCCAGCTTCTGTCCTAAAGCAACACATGTTTTCAGTCCTTTCTAAAGGCCTAATTTCTGCTCCTTGGGTACATTTCCACATACAAGGACTGTGTGCTGCATCTGGGTGAATTCCAAATCAATACTTGGCTCACTGCTGCTGCACTGCTTCAAGTACCAATTGCCATGTGACAGCAAGAAAAAAGCTGAATGATGTCAAGACAAAGTGATTTTTTTTCTTCTTTCTGGGGATTTATGCATTTTATAAGTCATAAGATTTTAGAGCTAGGAGAAACTTTAGGGGATTATCTAGTCCCACCGTCCTTCTGCCCCCAACTCATTTTATGGATGAAAAGATTTGTCTCCAGAAGTGGATCATAGTTCTAGACGTAGAAGGGACCCCAGCAACCATTTACTACATTTTCATTTTACAGATGAAGAAACTGAGGCTCAGGGAAATTAAGTGACTTGTACAAGGTCACAGAGGTAAGAAGTAGCAGAGTCAAGATTTGAATCCAGCTCTTCTAATTAAAAAAAAAAAAAGAAATCCAGGACTTTTTCCAATAAACAATAATGAGCTAAGGGAAGAATATTTAATCATTGCTCCATCACAATGGCACGGTGTGTTAGGGAGAGTATTTTACCTATTTATTTAGAGAGTAGCATTTTTCCTATTTTACGCACCCTTCATTTCCCACCTGGCTGCACTCCTCTGGATTTCTTCAGAATGTCCTTAAGCTACAAGACCTGAATCCATCAACTGTGAAACTCCCACCATCTAAATACCCTCGATGCTCCTCCCTCCCTCCAGCTGGAGAAGTTGTAGGGTGGACAATGGGGTGCCTCCCATACGCTCTATTTAACGAGGACACCGATCGCTTCATTTCTCACCCAGCTGTGTTGCTCTGGACATCATCCTGTTACCACTTCCCTTTCCTTTTCAGCTTCTTTCTATGTGTTGTCTCCCTCATTGAGGGCAAGAGTTGTCTTTTCCCTTTCTGTGTATATCCAGCATTTATGCAGTGCCTGACATGTTGTTTGTTGTTGTTGTTGAGTCATTTTCAGCCTTATCTGATTCTTCGTGACCTTACTGAGGGTTTTCTTGACAAAGATACTGGAGTGGGTCACCATTTCCTTCTGTGGCTCATTTTTCATTTTATAGATAAGGAAACTGAGGCCAACAAGATTAAGTGACTTGCCTAGAGTCATGCAGCTAGTAAGTGTCTGAGACTACATTTGAACTCTGGAAGATGTCTTCCTGAGTCCAGGCCTAGCAATCTATCCACTGTACTGCCCACATGGCACATAGTAGGTGGTTAAGAAATGTTTATTGACTTACTGACCCCTAAGCTTTGTGAACCTGAAGCAAATGTCTCACTTGCCTCACACTGTTATGATTGTCATTACATAATGTGCTTGAAAGGATATAAAATCTGGTAATGGTTTTAATTTTTTTATTTTTTAAGAGTCTTCATTCATTCCTTTTATTTTATATATTTTGTTCCTATCCATATTTGTCCTCAATCCATATTTATGGTCTGTCTACCATAGGCTAAAAACACTAACCATATATGAAACATCTAATATAACTATTTAATATAAACAAGCTTTGATAAACTCTCATTTGGATTTGTAGTTACTGCTTGCTTATCTTTCACTTTTCATGTTTAGCAGGGCCACAGCAAACATACAAGATATTATATTCAGGAAGAACTCAAAGAGGATATAGTAACTCCACAGAGCTTCCTAATGCCACCTTGTAAATCAGCAGCTCTGGCTCAGAAAGTCAATGGAGACAATCACCTTCCCGTCTCTTCCTCTACCCTCTGCTCCTTTTGTCCAAATCTTCAAGAAGGTGCATACTTACACTCAGGAGGCATCTTTTCGGTAAACAACTGGCAATATTTCTTGAGGAGTTCAAAGTTTTCCTGATTAATGCTTTCTTGCAGAGAGACATCTCCAAACCTTAAAAGAGAAGGAGAGGGAAGGGAGTGAGAATAAACTGGGACCATAAGGCTACCTAAGAAGGGGAATCTCTGTTTTTATGGATTCTCCCAACAACGGATACTTCAATACTTTTCAATTGTCTTCTATCTCTGAATCTTTCCCACCCTTCCTTACAATTAGAAAATAACGTGGTTTCTCCTCTGCGAAGAAAGAGAACATTGGGTCTGAACTTCCTTATTTCCTTTTTCTCTGCTTCAAAACCTGAGCCACTCTTGGTTTGCCTTTCTTTTTTTCTCTTCTGTGCTGGAACTGTGAAGACTCCCCAGAGTGCCTGGCCAAGTGCCTGTGTTTTCCATCTCTTAACTCAAACCTTTGTTCCACCTTGAACTCCCCAAAATATTCAGACCCTGTTTTTGCCATGCCATTCTATTTGGTTTGGGTCTCTGGACTTCGCAGGAATCCTGCCACACCTACTTGGACTCTGTGCATAGTTTGTTTCCTCTAATTTGACCTGGAACCTTGGGCTATGACACTGGTTTGTCCTTTTCATGCACTGATCTCTCATGAAATACAATTTTGTGCTTTAGATTCAAGTATTTGAAAACCATTAATGATAGGCTTCCCTCCTTATCCCTCTTCTTAAGCCTTCTATTTTTCAGGGGGATAAATGTCCCCCAAGCTTTCAAATGTCCTTATATTTCCTTATCTCAAAGAGTCCCATCTTGGACATTCCCTCCCCTCAGACCAGTTGCCAAATTTAACTTCTACAATATATTTCACATCTGTTCCATTTTTCCACTCAGTCAATCACCAAGCACTCTGGTTCTGCTCCTTCTCACCTCTGAACTGGACTATTGCTTTAGTCTTTTAATTCATGTCCCTGAATTAAGTCTCTCACCTCTCTCATTCATTCTTCACACAGATGCCAAACTGATATTTTCAAAGCACAAATCTGATCCTGTCACTCCCCTGCTTGAAGATCTCCAGTGTCTCCACTTTGCCTCAAGGATAAAAAAGAAATTCCAATATTTGGTTTTTAAAGTCCTTTTCAGTCTGGTTCCAGGATGCCTTTCCTTGCTTATTGCACATTACTTTTCATCATGAACATTCCAGGCAAATTGGTTTGTAAACTGTTTGTTTCCTTTATAGAACATTCAATATGTTTGTTTACCCCCTTTCCATAGGGTCTCATCACATTGGAAGGTATTTATTCTCTTTCATCTTACAGAATGACTTAAAAACTCAAGTGAGGTGTTATCTCCTACAGAGAGCCTATATTGATTTCCTTAGTAGCTAGTATTCACCTTTCTTAGGTATTTTGTATCTTTTTATCTACTGTATGCATGTATATGTATGTATAGACAGATAAATATATACCTCCTCCCCACATATATATACATATATAAATGTGTATATATGCACATCCATCATCTATTTCTCTACCTGTATATCTATCCATCCATCCATCCCTTTATCATTCATCCATCCATCCCTCTATCATTCATCCATCCATCCATCCCTCTATCATCCATCCATCCATCCCTCTAT